GACCATGTGAAGAATACTAGCATGTAAGGAGTCACAGGGGGCAAATTTCCAGTAGAATTCTAGATACCTGTCTTTAGCACTGTCTGTGAAGAAGTCAAAGCTGTGTATGGAAATCAAACTGGACATTTCCAGCTACTGCAGTTGTGCATGCAAATGGAAATTTAGCAGGCATAAGTTTAGTAGTCCCCTTTAAATTGGTCATGCCAGTTTCTGAGAGGTGATTGGATGAGTTTATCAGTGTTCCAGATATAGCTTATAATTGCTGCTTCACATTATAAACAAAGCCATTAGCTGAAACATATCTACATTTACTGAAATGAATTTAATTCATTGAAGACATTGGGGCACATTTAATGCCCTTTTGCTTTGTGTAAAGACAACAATAAATCTTGCACATTTGCTAATATTTAAATCAAGCTTCAACGTTAACCCAAATGACTACTTTGATGGAGGAGCAGGCTTTATGCTTTCAACTAAAAATCTCTTTTTTTACATAAACATTTTTTATTGCAGGTTTATTTTTGATAGGACCTTGTATAAAGACATTGCCTTCAGGAAGAAACATTGGAATTTTAGGGTTATTTGAAATGAATGTATAAGGATATGTTATATGTCATGACTATGCTGCCTCACATGCCATTGAATAAAAAGGACTTGAAATACTGCTGGCCCAAACCTGCAATAAAACTCTCTAATATTTCAGTGGACATGGTTGCATGTGAAGATACTTCAGAATGAAGCTTATAATCCTGGACTACTTTTCATGAGAGGCTGAATATATGAAGATACTTCATAAAACAAATCGTAATAGAGGACTTGTAACAGTGCATGGAGTTACATGCTTTGCAGGGTTGCTTTTGTGGCAGCACAAGGCTACACAGCAAGATGTAATTTAACCTTATGCATATGTACCAGGATTTGCATAATTGCACTCTACTGCGGTTAAAACCAATGGTAAAACTAACCTGTGGATCAAACAATAACTGCAATGAGGGAGGATGTTCGTGCAGTGATTTGGTACCTTGTCCTGTGATAAGATAAAATATCAGATGGACAATATTTGCAGAGTTACCATCTCTTCTCATGGCTCCGTCATATTTGGGTTACAAATCCAAGAAATTTAAACTTGAGGTAACAAATATTGGCATTAAAGATTAGGTGTTTGCTTCTCAGTAATTATGAGTCTTTTTTTTTTTTTCTCTCACAATAAAGTCTAGTTTTGAACTGCTGGAGAGTTAAAACAGTTGTTCAGAATGTTTGAATTCACTAAATTCTTTTTTGGAAGCACTTATTGGAATCACTAGTTTTTACACAATCAGTCACTATAAATTCAAAACAGGTTCTAAAAATCAGGCTAGTCATTACCTAGCAAGAACCGTTACAACTGATTATCTTTATGCCCACACTACGAACTTGAGAAGCCTACTTTTCATTCAAATACTTTTCTATGAATTTTCAAACAATGGACACAATAATTCAAGGCTTGCTGCCTTCATCTGAAAGTTAATTTGGATGAAAGTAAGGTTTGCATTTAAAGTGCAAAAGCTCTTCCTGCATAAGTGCACGTGTGGACAGTTCTAATTCAGGAATCAAAATGTCTTCTTGTTTCACTTAATCTACTTTGAAAATAGAAGTGTTTAGCTTAATCCTTCATTGAACTGGAACAGGTCCACTTATTCCAGTCCACCTGTGAGTTATGTTGGAAAGGGAGTAGCTTGTCTGAATAACTACGATTCATTTCAGAAATATTTTTTTCCAACTACTTAGGTCTGAGCCTGATCTCCGTTGACACGCATTGCAGCCTTCCAAATCTCAAGTCTAAATTTTGCAACCATCTCATCAAATAACAGAGTCCATTTTAAATGCTTGGAAGACTGGACTCCAAAACTGAATCTAAGCTGTATTGAGTATTTGTGACAGAAATGTAACTTAGATTTTGTGGCTTTTACCAATCTCAAACTACAATTAATTCTTTGTTGTTCTTTAACAGTAAAAATGGCAGTGATGATGGTCATTAATTGAACAAATTAAATCATTAATTGTTTTGGTACAGAAGAAATCAAAGTACTTGCACAAATCCCATCAATCTCAGTTAAATGGTGCCATGACTTAGGAGTAATTCCCTGAATCAGGACTTAAGGCTGTCAGCTCTAAGGAGCAAGTCTTGTTATCTCTGTCTGAACTGTGCTTAACCAGCTAGAACTGTTATATGGTTGAGAACTTGAGACACAATTGTAAAATATTATATAAACATCTTTTGGACACTTCAATGGATTTTGAGAGTTAAAAAAAAATCCTTGCACTTAGTCTCTTGGGGGACGCAAGTCATTATTTTTTTTTTGTTTGTTTGTTTTTGTTTTCTTAAATGAGAATTTAAGCTCCATATGCAGTTTGTAGAATGGCTGATGTGCATACCTGGGTTACTCCGAAAGTCAAATACTCTGTATATTGGACACTTTAAGCTGCTGTCCTTAAGTTCCAAATCATTAGCTTAGCAAATGGGAGCTTAAATATAAGCATAGTCAATGGGGAGGAAAAAAGTCCACTGCATAGTATGTCTAGCGATAGAAAAAGCTACAGAATGCGAACATAAATTTTTAATTCAACATTCCTTAATTTAAAAAAACCACACCATGATCAATCCCCTCCCCCCCGACAAGCTTGCAAAACTAGGTCTGAATTCCCAGTGGGAATAATGAGCAACAGCAAGAGTGAATGCTGGGAGAGAAGAATGCAATTGTATTAGGCTCCATCACAATGGGAGGTAAACCCAAATCATTTATAAAAGGTAAATGCTGGCAGAACACAGGGAGCTCAGAGCACCACACTGCAGGTGTGATTTATGAGGCTGGGGACTGGCTATAAATCAAACCCTTTTGTTTTAAATAGTACTGCTTCAACGCAGGAGATCAGTTTACATGTAGAGGAAATGATGAAAAAAATGCAGTACATTGCATCCCAAGAATATTAGAAAATCAGCTTTACAATGCGACTATCAGGACCATGTTCAGACAATGGATATCTGATGCTCAATTTAACGAATGCTCCCACTGCTTGAACAGAGTGCCCTAATCTAGCAACTCAAGTTTGTTTCAAATGTATTAATTATGGGATCTATTTTGTGAGACCAGCTGTTAAAATCATTGCGCTTATGATCAGGAATGCATTGGCTATTCCTGTTAACTAGCTAGAGGTGTCCTTTTATGCCAGCAAAGGCTCTGCCTGTTTCTATGTTATCCGTGTTTTTCCTTAACTATAAAGGTTTATGGGTCTCATTATCTAGTGGCCTTGTCCTGTGGAAATGGGTAGATAAAACACTTAATTCCTAAGGATTCAAATAAAGAGTAGGCATCCTGGAAAGTTCTGCACGATTACAGGAAAATACACACTTCTGCCAAAGAAAAGTGCTTTTCTCCCTCTATTGGTTGTATAATTATCAAATGGAAGAGATTTTAAAGGTAACGAACAAAATGATTTCTTCCGCTCTGCTTTACAGATCTGCCAGGGCTTATCTTGGCTGCATATTTTGCATTCATTTTGCATGCATACCACTAGAGCAAAATATATGCCTGAAACCACGCTGTGTCCTGCAACGTGGGCCAGAGAAGCACTTAAAAAAGCTGAGAGGACAAAAGGCCTACATAAAGGGAGGTACAGCAGTTATATCAGTGTTCAAAGAAATTTATAATGAAACAAAAGCTGAGTGCATTGCACTTATGTGTATCCTAGTCATTTGATGTAATGGTCTTACATCAGTAATCATTTAGCTATGTGAATGTAAGAAGTTGCCTTTAATTCACTGATAAGCAGAGTGCCTTTATGTCAGCAAGGAGCCAAGAGACATCTTGTATTGCAGTGCTTTATTACTTTCCAAGAGTCCAAAATGCAAACACTACAGAAACACATGAGCACAACTTCCAGGATCTTTCTGAGGCTCTGATATTGATATAGCCAGCATCAGCTATTGCTGGAGGCGTAAATATCAATTGCTAGCATGAGGAAAGTATCATTTCACTGAAATAATTGATTTTTTTTCTAACTTATTGTTATAAAAACACATCTAGTGCCATAAATTTATGGGGCACTCTATAAATGTAAAGACATATTCCCTGCTCAGTAGAGCTTGCAGCCTAAATTAGACCAATATATGAAAAGGATATATTGATGGTGAACAGAGAGAAGAAAGAAGTGACTGAAATTGCTTTTACCAATTTCTTGAATCTGACCAGGTTTCCACCTGATATTGGGCCAGACTTTTAAAAGTATTTGGGCTTCTGTTTTCCAAAGATTAGCGTGCTTAAGTGTCTTGAAGTATACAGTCATTTTACACGTAAAATCTAATGCACCTCAAAAAGCACATTATGTGGGAGAGGAGTAAAGATGGCTTTGTGCCTTATGAATCTTATGTTGTTGTGGACACTAGTCAATTTAGATAGATAGCCTTGAAAGGGTCTGCCCAAGTCGTGTAGTCCTCTCAGGCTGAAGTGCCATCTGTAATCTTTATAACACTTTTTTTTAACTGGATTCCTGAAAACTCTTTCCATCTTAGGTTTTTTTCTAGGCCAACATTTTGTCTCCTTTCTTTGTCTGTTGTGCCCTGTGAGAGAAATACTTTTGTGGGCCAGAAGTAGTGTTTTAAAACTCATTTTTGCAAACTCTTCTGCCTTTTACACAAATAAAGATGTCACTCAAGGGATCTTGTTGCAACAGTTGAGGAAAAAACATAATTAAAGCTAATTTAAACATTGAATTTCTTTGCCATCATAAAGGTTAAATACATGGGAAAGCAAAAGAACATTTATATAGCAGAAGCAATAATGAAGGGTTTACATCTGCAGCCTCCATGAGCAGTGGGGGTTGTGGCTTTTCCTATGTACAGTCATCAGGAATAGCTGGTAATTACCAAGTTCAAAGCCTATTGTCTCCTCCAAAAAGCCGACTTGTTTTTTCGGGGTTGTTTCAGAATGACGTGACGTCTGATGGCTCTATTCCTTTTATAGGTCTTCTTGATACGCATCGAATCCTGACCTGGGCTGGAAAGTAATTTTTGTGAACATATTTACAGAATGATGTGTAACAGATCCAGCAAAGGCTGAAGGCTGGTAATAGTGACTGATGTAGTACCATGGAGAAAAGAAACCTGAACACTGCTCTCCAAGGAGGCTGAGCGAGGAGTGAGGTAATAACGGGTTTCACTGCTCAGTCGGGGTTTACAGGAGAGGTGATTTTGGTCCTCAAACTGTGCTCAGAGGACAGGAGGCAGCGTGTATTTTACATGTATGCAGTAGGTGATAGGGTAGACTTGTTCAGTGATCTAGGAGGCTTTGTGCTACAAACAAAGGTCTCCTGCAAAGCTGATGAATATTTTTTCCTATTGCAGGGCTGATATGTTGAATGCCTCCCTGCAAATCTTGAATCCAGCCTTGCCATGGTTTGCTCGCTCGTTAAGCCAATGGGTATTGCACCGAGGTAAAACCACAGGAGAATTTTTTGTATTCTGTAGCTGACAAAGGGAATGTCCTGAATTTATTCTAATGGCATGGTTTTACCTTCAGGTAGGTGTTGGCATGTGCAAACTATTTCAAAATGTCTGCTGCAATGACTGCAAGCATGAAATGGTCCATAGGAGGTTACATATGCAAGCACACTGTCTGTGGGCAGGGTGTATAAAGAGGATGATTCATGAACTTTGCTTCTTAAACCATAACCTTCCACATAGGAAGCTCAAGTAGGTCACATACTGAGGGGAGCCAGGAAACACACATATGTGCGTGATGCAAATCTGATAGCCTGTCTAGTAACCGGGAGTGGCCAACAGACGTGCATCCCAGTTTGTCAGATGTGTTTATACATTTTCTGAGATGTTACAGATATAAAGTGTATATCAGAGCTTAGACTCTGACCTTAAAAAGTAGATGTCTTCTAAGATTGTATTCAACTTCCTTGTGATAAGAATTAGCTTTCCAACTTAATCAGCATTTGTGACTTGATTCAGCAGAGCACTGAAGATGCACTTACGGCAATCTCCATTCAGCAAAATTTTTAACCTTAAATGCGTGCTCTAAGAACAGAGCTTAAAATTAAGTGTGGGTTTACATGCTTCACAAAACTGGGTTTTGACTTTGAGCCTCTGGATGGGAAAATTAGTCATGAATGTTTGGTTCATAGTGTGAGATTTCTCCCTTTTTACTCAGGAGGGGACTGGCACAGGAGGTGTCACTGGAAACCACAACTACTGGTGAACAGTTAGCAGGAGATTTTAGAACCCCCTTTATAACAGCTAAACATGTGAGTAGGTATAAAATAAGCAGAAGTAGTTTTTTTAACATTTGGATATTAAAAAAAGAAAAATTTTTGGAAGACTGACATTTCAATTTCAAAATTAAGTAAAAAATTTGTAATTCAGAAAAATTTTGCAGTCATCTGTAGCCCTCAGGGTCCATATGCCTGCAGGCAGACGTTCTCTTTCTAAGTCACTTTTCCAAGGTCCTGGGTTTGTAAACATGTAAAATAAATGAACAAATAAACACACACACGTGTTTTGATATGCTCCACCATTCCTCTGATATTGCCCTGTAGGATACAATACAGACATGAGGAATCAGAATAAAGGGATCAGGAATATCAGGGATAAAGACTTGCTTTTATTCCTTGTCAGGAATAAAGATGTAAGAATAAGTGCTTTGGAGGATGCCCTGTTACTAGACGCTAATGCATGTGAGGAATGCTATCTTCAGCTGCACTGCTAGTGGAGTTCTGCAAAGTCCACTCCACAAAGACATTTGTAGTCTGAACATGGAACCTCTCTTGCTTCAACGCGCCACTGGCAGCAGCAGTATCTCATTTCCTCCTCTGCTGTCTGCAGACCAGAAACATCACTATCTCCCAGCCATGGCAAACTGAGGAACCCAATCATCCTTATCTGCTCTCAAAAATGCACCGTGAGGAATGTCCCAGAAATGGTAACTTCCTGATGTGACTCACATGCTCCATCCTAATGTCTGTGGATGTCACCTGAATTTTTAAGTATTGATATGCTTTTTTTAGCATTGATATGAAAGATGTTCTCTTACAAAAGGAGTTCATTAGTTGAACAGTGCTCTTTCACGGCATTGTAGGAATCAGTGCTCCAGATAAGAGCACTTTCTGTTCTGGTGCCTATCTTCAGATTTGCCAAGGGGGGCAACACTGTATGGCAATGGGAAGATTCCTTAAAAGCCCTGATTAGGCATTAATGCAGGTGCTAATTTCTGCCTTTAATGTACCTCTGATAAATTATTATCATAGTCCAGTGATTTATAAGGTTTGAGGTAGGCTGTCTGGTGAGGGATGGATGATCCCACTGGACGGTCCACCTCAAACCTTATAAATTGCTGGAAGTAGGAGCCTGGATTTATTCATAATCATGTATTTCTGTATATATGTTTTTGGTTTAATAGGTGCAAAGAGTATAAAACAGGGTAAGCAAACTATTGCTTCAAAGGGAAATGTTTAAAAAAGGTTTGAAAACACCCGTTCTAATTATTGTATATGACATTAATTTTAATTTCCAATTAAACTCTGAGCTAGAGCATATCTTCTTACACACATGACTTCTGCTGGTCACCTGCATGTTATGGGAAAGAGCATGTTTTGCTATTTTAAAATGATTTATTTAATGTCCTTGTAAAGTTTCATTTCTCTCTCTTTAGTTCCAGCCCAGGTAAGGATTTCTTTTTTAAACCCCATAAATTAGAGAAATTTCCTATTAATTCATCTGGCATATCCTTTGCTAGCAAGGTTAGATTTTTTTTTTCCCTATGTGTTGTATAATTGGTAGTTGACCCCATTTAGTTCTAACTGTCAGAAGAAGCAGAACCCCCTCCAGTTTCCAGAACCTGCTCCACAACTTTGTAGACTGTATGTATTCCAGTCACAGTCTCTATCTGTACAAAATTTGGAATAAATGTATTGAAGTCAACAAAGCTGTTTTAGTTTAACATAATGTAATAATAGACTTTGTCCTCAAACTCCATCTATCATTCCAGCACTCGTTAGGCATTCTGGTTTTGTTCTTAGTAGGAGCCATCATAAAGAAATTGATTTCCCTCTGTTCCCTCATCCAATTTATTGCAAGAGAACTCCATGTTCATTTGCCCATTACACAGCATTTTGTGGGGTGAGAAAGAAACAAGCCAAAAGAAATCATCAGAAGAAGTAGTTATCATGTCGGATGAGAGACTGTTCTTGTTTATTTTTGGCATAAATGCAGAACAGCTCCACTTCTCCCTGAGGAGTTTATTTGCATTTAGTTGGGTGAGACAAACTCCAGATTGTACTCTGAACCCCAAAACTCACCTTCTCTACCCCTGTTTGCTGCACTGAGTTATGCAAGAGACTTCTTATGATCTTGTAGCCTACGTGTTATGATTTCCATTACCTCTGCTGTTCATCCCCCTCCTTCATTGCTAGTTGTGTACCCCAAGTTGGGCAGCCAAGTAACGTGTCCTCCATGGCTGTTAAAATTACACTATAAATAGGCTGGGAAGCAATATAGTTGGAGCAAAGCAACCGGCACAGTCCTCTTTCCTCTCCCCAATGGCAAAGTTGCTCATGACCACAACGGACCAGGTCTCTGTTATCCGGAGAGTGTAACCATGGTGTTGCTTCTGCATCTGGGTCCTTCATAGGGTTGCACAAATCATGGTGCGTTTCAGTAAGGATGCCACCATCAGTGTGCTGAACGTCATACAACGGCAATGACAGAAAACAAGAGTCCTCTCCTCCCGCACTGCTCCGTGCTGTGAACAAAACAGCGTTCTCGCTGGAGCCAAACTGAAAACTTTCTGCGCAGTTGGCTCAGTTAGAAGTTTGCCGTGAGGAATGCATTAGCTGGTAAATCTGTAAGCTGTGAATTGCATAGAGACTTGACATGACAGTAGATTAAGTGATCCAGTGGTAGTTTTGCTTTACCTTTATGCCACTCATTGGCTTCCTGTTTAGCTGCATCACATGAAATCTTCCCAGCCTCACCTTCAGGGCCTTACAGATGTTGCCCTCACTGCCATGTCACCTTCCTGTACTAGTTTACCAGCTTCATATCTGTTCCCTGCCTACAACTTTGTGCTTTCTGTCATGTATTTTCTATCCCTGGCACAATTTTTCCCCAGAAAACGGACCTGCTTCTGTATGTCAGTAATTCTTTGCCCACCTACCATCCCTTTCTTGCCTTCTCCATCTAGCATCATTAGGCCTTTAAGCAGTGAAATAGCTTGTTTTGGTTTGTTGTGGATGCTGTATATTTATACACGTTGGATGGGCTAAGATCAGTATTATTCTTGTGGCATTGCATTTTTGAAAGCTGTTTGTACAGGATCCCTGTAGACCATAATAAAAAATGTCTCAATATATCTTAATTTCAACGATGTGAGGACAGTGGCTGAGACCAGTACTTCATGGCATGATCCACGGCTAAAGTAATTACAGCAGTCCCTTGCAGCTAAACATGTAGATATTGTAGATGAAGTGTTTATGCATTTGTGTGATTCTGGGAAAAAAAAAATTCTGTTTGGAAATTCTGAATAATGGTTTTGATTAAATTAATATTGCAGAGACTTTCTCTTTGGAATGATGATTTGTCGGCAGCTTAGAATGAATCAAGTAAGAATTTTATACAAATACCAAACTGTTATTTAAAATGTGTCACAGCATTGGTAGGGCACCGCTGAGCTGGTGCTAAACTCAGCTTTCAAGTTTGTGGTGAACTCCCAAGCTCCATTTTGACTGGCTGGTTTGAAACATGGTCTCTTCTTTTGGCTTCTCTGGCAGTTTTCCAATAAACAATCTGTCATCCTGTTATGCTTTCACAGCTGTATTAGCCTCTTTGGCCTCCCCACCAAGCTCCTGACTAATGTCAGCTCATCTTTGCTGAGACCGTCGGGCCTACTGGAAAAGTGAGTTTACAATTTATTCTTCGGTGATGTGACAGCTGATAGCAAACAGACAAGCACTCTTTACACTCTTTGCACACCAGTTACTTTTCTACTGAAATAGCACAAGAAATAACACATATACACACATACATGTATGCGTATATATATGTATGCATGCATATTTATGAACACAAAAATGTGTATTTATGTACAAAAACGTGTATGTGTATCTTTCTAAAAAGAAGAAAGAATATATATGCTCAATGCCTTTTCTTTCTTCTTTTTCCCTACTGCTCCCAGGAGCTGTGTGTGTCAGGGTCTTCCACGCAGTCCCCAGTCCTCATGTTGTGCACAGCTCTTCCTCTGAATCATGTCATTTGGTTCCTGCTTCCTTACTTGGCCCACTGCCTTCTCTATCTCTTTGTCTCCATTTCTTTCTTGCTTAGCTTGCCCTCCCCAGCTTCTTAATCTGTGAGATTTTATCAAGGCAAAGTATGTGCTTCTGTAGGGTCATATCAATGCTTCATTTCATGCTTCTGCCTTTAGGAAAATTCCCAGGGTCTAGCTCCAGCAGCCAGTACAGACAATCTCCCTTTTCCTAGATGTTAGGCTTCTCATTGCCCTGCCCTGGTGCCCAGACAATACCACTTACAAGAGACTTTTTCAAAGATAGATTTTTTTGGCCCCGCTTCCCTCCTTATTAATACAAACTGTATTGAACTAAGGTACAGTGAAGGCAGCCGGACATAAAAGTACAA